AGGCCCCAGGCTCTGAGCTGTCAGCACAGAGCCCGACATGGGGCTCGAACCCACGAACCCTGAGATCATAACCTGAGCCGAAGTTGGACGCTTAATTGACTGAGCCACCCAGGCACCCCATGAGACCATAATTTAAAAACAATTTTTTTAATGTTTTAGTTATTTCTGAGAGAGAGAGAGGGAGGGAGGTGCAGAGAGAGAGGGAGACACAGAATCTGAAGCAGGCTCCAGGCTCCGAGCTGTCAGCACAGAGCCCGACGCGGGGCCTGAACCCATGATCCGTGAGATCATGACCTGAGCCGAAGTCGGATGCTTAACCGACTGAGCCCCCCAGGCTCCCCTAAATTCTTTTATGTTACAGAATTCCTGCATGCTCAATGCCACCAAAGGAGACAGTAAGCACAGAGCTTCGTAATAGTAAATACAAGAAACAGATCGCTCCCCAACACCTTTCTACCATGCCCTTGGGGTCCTGGTCTGAAGTGGGGGGCCTGTCCGTGGGTTTTGCAGAGACATGGTCCCTGCCTCGATGCCCGCGTAACTGTCACATGGGTTACACGAGTCAGTCACCAAGCACAGTTGTACGAGGCGCCACGGAGGCCCTGGCCAGGGGCAGGGTGCTGGGGTGTGGCTCCGTCCGGGGTGGCCAGAGGGGACTTCTCTAAGGGGCACACCAAAGCCAAGAACGAAAGGGTAAGTGGGAGTCAGCAGGGGAGGGAGGAGAAGAGTGGGCTGAGCAGAAGGCTTGCTGAGTGAAGGCCCTGAGCCTGGGCAAGACTTAAGCTTCCCCATCCTCAGTTTCCCCATCTGTAAAGGGGGCATAATAGTCCTTGTATCTGGGGCTCAGTGGGACCATTGCGTGAAATCGTGCCTGGAAAGCACGCAGCCTGGCTCTCAGTCGCTGCCGGTGGTTGTTGTCATGCAGAATCACAGACCTGCAGAATCACAGACGCTGGAAGGGCAGACACTTGTGGTAGACCCCCTCAAGGTCATGGGCTTCCCAGAGGCCATCTAGTTACCCGCACAAGGTCATGGGTTTTGCAGAGGCCATCTAGTTCAGTATTTCTCAACTGGAGGGGTTCTGCTTCCCGGGGGGGGGGGGTATCTGGCCTTGTCTGGGGACACATTTGGTCGTCCTCACTAGGGAGCAGGTGCTGAGGACACCTAGCAGATGGAGGCCAGGGATGCTGCCTACGTCGTATGGTGTGCAGGGTGCCTCCCCACCAAGAATCACCCAACCCCAAATGTCAGTGGTGCTGGTCTAAGCCACTTATTTTACCAGCAGGGGACCTCAGGGGCACTGCAGGGGAGGGGTCCCTCAGGGTCCCTCTCACAGGACTGGCGCCCAGGGCCCTGGCTTCTTGGGTCAGGTTTTCTGAAGGAGAGAGGGAGGGGCCTCGGGCCTGTTGGAAACTGAAGCCAGCCGGTAGTGAGGGGGGTTGGGGAGTGGGCCCTGGGTAGGGGGTGGAGTCACATCTCTCAGTGAGGGGGGTTGGGGAGTGGGCCCTGGGTAGGGGGTGGAGTCACATCTCTCAGTCACCCTCGGGGATGAAATTCCCAGACAGGAACTTCATCCTGAGGCAGCAGCAAACCCCTGGTGCCGTGCCGGCAATGGGGCGGGGGTGGGGTGGGTGTGTGTACCTGGCTTGGGGTGTCCTGACTCAGCCAGCTGGTGGAGGGGGGGGGGCCGCCCCTCAGGATCGGACCAAGGTGTGAAAAGTCCTGGCCTCGGAGCTGTGATGGCTAATGAGGTGGGGTGCCCGGGGTGCCTGGGACAGCTCAGATCCCCCCCATCTCTGCTCTGGTGAGGCAGGGTGCCCCCACCTTCCGATGATGAGCAGCGTTGTACCGTGTCTGGGAGGCAGGACTTGAGCCTGCATTTGCTCTGGGTGTTTCCCCCTGGCCGGAGCTCTGATCCTGCCACTAACTTACTGTGTGATCCTAAGCCAGCGTCTCTCCCTCTCTGGGCCCCCAGGTCCCTGCCAATCCACAGAGGGGCGGGAGTCCATCAGTGGTTCTCTAGCCCGTCTGCAGGAAGCTCTCAAGTGCTGGCCAGGGTCCTCGGGACGCAGGAAGAAGACACCGGATAACTGGGTCTCACTCTGTCCTTGTCCGGCGGTTTGTGTGTTCATTTGTCCGTCCATCCATCCATCCATCATCCATCCATTTCCTTAGACAAATATTTACTGAGCCCACATCATACACCAGGGCCCATGCCAGGCAGGGGCCTCCGTGGTGTCAGAGAGGTTACAGTCGGATGGGGACACAGCCCGGAGGCAAATGGGATACAGAGAGCAGGGGTGTCTCCCAAGGGGTGAGGGAGCAGAGGAGCCCGTCAGGCTGGGGTGGGGGAGGGCTGGCCCTTATCCCCGGAAGTGACGTCGAAGCTGGGGCGTGGTAGGTGAGCGGATGAGCCCCGTGAAGAGAAAGATGTAGTTTGCAGGCAGAGGCCTGGAGACCGGAGATAGTATGGAATGTTCTAGAAAGTATGGTTGGGTGTGGAACATGGAGGTGCTTGGCAAGAGGAGACTGGGCTGGGGTCGCCCCTAACTGGCATTGCCCCCCCCCCGGGATGAGCTTCCTGGGGCCTTCTGCAGGGGGAACTGGACAGGTACCCCAGGAAGGGTACCCAGAAAGGCTCCCCACGGAGCTGGCCTCCCTGCATCCCCACCTGCCTCCGGTTATACCGGTTACCGCTGAGGTGGGGGGGTTCCCACTGCTGGCTCTCAGCAGCTGCTCTCAGCTCTGGGGGTCCCTGCTGTGCCTTCTTCTCCGAGAGCCAACCCCCAGGAGCCCCCCGCAGGGACCCTCTAGGAGAGGCTTTTGTCTACTCTTCATTGTTTTTAACAGTCTTTCAGGATCACTTAAGGAACTTACATCCATTATGGGGTGAGGAGAAGCTCAAGGGGAGGCCCCCCATTCCTCCGGAAGCATTGATCTGATGACTGGAGGCCCCCATGCTGGCGCCAGGCCCGTCCCCTCCTCCTGCCTGGGGACCTGTCTTGGCCACGGGGCCTGGAGTCACGGATCAGGTCTTGTCCCTAAAACGCTCCTTCTCCCTGGCCGTGCGTCCAGCCCAGGCATGAAGTTGGGGGCCAGAGCGCCCCGCTGGGAAGGAGGCTTTAGGGGAGGGGCGAGCATGAGGCTGGGTCCCTTCCCGGCACCTGCGGTGGGAGGGGCACCGGCCCTTTGCCTCCGTGCCTTCAGCTGTGACCCCCGCATCACCGAGCCCACCCAACGCGCAGGGCTGGGGTGGCGACGGAGGGAGGAACAGCCACGAAGGCCGAGCTCAGCGCCTGGCACGGGCTGCGGCCAGAGGCCCGGGCAGAGGGTGAAATGGGGCGGCCATCCCGTGACTGAGCAGGGACTCGGCCTCCCTGGGCCTCTGCTCCCTCCAGATGCCCAGTGGGAGGAGACGGGGAGGGGTGCGGGGTGCGGAGGTCTGGCCTCCTTCATGGCCTCCAGCTGGCTGTGGGCGCCCCCTTGGCCCGACCCCAGGCTGGTGCACCTTCCGGCCTCCCCCTTCCCCCAGCACCCCCCATCCCTGTGCTTAGCAAGGGATGTTAACATCTGGCCTCAGTGGTGTAGGCTGCCGGTCCCCGAGGGTCCCTTCCAGGTCCTTGTATGTGCCGCGTGGCCCTGGCCCCTTAGATTGGGGCCACCACGCCGCTTCCCAGGGCCCAGAACGGGGTGCCCGGAGTCCCCTCCCTAGACGTGAGGGGAGAAGGGCACCTTCACAAGGGTCTCAGAACAGACCAGTGGGGCAGGTGACAGTCGCAGCGACCCCGTGTCCCTGAGCATCAGGCCTCTTCAGGGTTCACCCTTGTCCCCCCCCCCCGCCCCAGCTCCCGTCTGGGATTGCAGGACGCGCAAGTCGCCCCTCCTGAGCCTCAGAAACGGGCTCCAGCGTGGGCTTGCTCGCTGGCCGCCGTGGGCTTTCGGGGGCAGTGGGTTTGCAGAGCGGCCCAGCGAGGTAGGTGCTGGGCGCAGAGGATAGCTGATCCCCTGCCAGCTTCCCTTCGTGCCAGGAACCCTCCTCCTCCTCGGAACCTTCTTCCAGCTGGGTTGCTAAGCTACACCCAGGCGCCAGCTCATGAATTGGTTTACGATGGCTCATCTGAGTTCATAAGACGAAAGATCATGCTACGGATGGGTTTTTTAACGCCCAGCCCTGGGTTAACGATGCTGCCTTAATCTGATCCCCACAGGACAGATGTGACAGCCGTCCCTTTTTAGGGATGAGGAGACTGAGGCTCAGAGCGGGGAGGACACTGGCCCGAGGTGGCACAGCCAGCAAATGGCAGAGCTGGGATTTGGACCCCAGAGCCATGTGGCCATCGGCTGGCTGCCTGTAGCTGCAGAGCCCTGGGCCGGGCCTGGGGATGCAGGGGGACAAGTCCAGTTGGGACAAGCCAGGGTGCCCTCCGAGCTTGCTGCCCTGTTCCAGGGATAACTGATGTGGGGGAGGGGGTGTGCGTAAATGGGGGGAGGGTGCGGGCGTGTGGGAGGAGCCAGCTGCCGGCCCCATATGGTGGCTCTGCCCACCAGCCAGCCCGCCCCACTCTGTGGTGCCAGGAGGGGCTCAGCGGGGGGGCGGGAGTGCCCTGGTGTAAGAGCGTGACTCTGGGGAGCTTTGTTTTCTTTCAGCCCGGCTGTGTGGAGTGCAGGGCTGGGGTGGGGAGGGCAAGTGCTCTCTGTGCAGTGTACAGGCTAATCCTCCCGGCGAGTCTTTTCCCCCTCATCCAGATGAGGCTCACAGAGGTGCAGTCACCTGTCCCAGGTCACACAGCTAGCCAGAGCAGAGGTGGGGCGATGAGCCCATGCTACGACGTCCAGGCCTGTGCCCAGCACCCACACGTGCCACTGTCTCCTTGAACAGGATTGGGGGGGACAGCGACTGTGCAGGCGGCAGGGGGAGAGGGGACGCCAGGCGGGAGCTGCTGGCAGGGGGGCGATGCTGGCGCCTCTTATACCCCCTTTCACCCGGTCTGCCACTCCAGGTACAAAGGCTTCATCAAGGACTGCCCCAGCGGGCAGCTGGATGCCGCAGGCTTCCAGAAAATCTACAAGCAGTTCTTCCCATTTGGAGACCCCACCAAGTTTGCTACGTTTGTTTTCAACGTCTTTGATGAAAACAAGGTGAGCTGGGGACTCAGGGGGGCCCGTGCCTGTCCTAGCGTCCCCTCCCCCGCCCCCCCCCCCCCCCCCCCCCGCCTGCTCAGCTCCTGCAGGCGCCCGTGGCGTCTCCACACCCACGCTCCACTGCCGATGTTCGCTTCTGGAGAAGGAACACACACACGTGTGCACACACACACATGTGACTGATGCACGCACATGCGCACAGGTATGCACGCATGCCTGACGCGTGCGCCTCCTCCACATGCACTGCACGGAGATGGGGATGCACACATATACCGAGCGCACACGTCTGTATGCGCACACGCACGCGCACGCGCGCCTTGACCTTTTTCTCACAAGCACAAAACGCAAATCGCTGCAGGGACAATAACGGAGGATGTAGAACCGTAACTGACGTTTGCTGAACATTTACTACGTGCTAAGCGTTTTCAGTGGGTTACTCTGAATGAGGCTTTCCAACCAACCGCCTCTGGGGTATGTCCTTTTAATACCCCCGTTTTGCGGATGGGGAAACTGAGGCCCTGGGATCTTTTGTGCCTGGCTCCTTTCACTGAGCGGCACGCTTTCTTGGCTCATCTGTGTTGATGCGTGTGTCCCCTCCCGGCGATGGCTGTGCTGACGTGTGGCATATCCACCGTGGGGGCGCCCACGGTCCTTAGCACCCCTGGCCCACGCCTGCATTATTCCAGGCTCCCTCGTGTTCGTGGCGGCTCTGCCATAACTGGATTTCACCCTCCGCACTTTGGGCCCTTGGACGGTTTCTGTTCTGTCGTGCCCTGGCTTTCCTCCTCAGGTGCCCTGAGGCTGGCGCTGCTTGGCCCCGGGGAGAGCTCTGCCCTCTCCAGGCCTCAGTTTCCCTATTTGTAAAACAAACAGGTAGGATTAAAAGTTGAGGGCCCTCCCCTCCTCAAAAGACTCTCAGCCTGTAGTTCAAAGCCAAGGGGAAAGGGAGTTTCAGGCGGCTCTTGCCCGGGGAGGGGGGTGTTGCTGGTGACTTCTGGTTCTTTCCCCTATCAGATGTGGGCTCTGCCTTTAGCCTCAGTCTTTCTTCTGTCCTTCCTACCTGACCTGACCCGTCTGTAATCCCCCCACACCCCATCCTTGTCCCTTCTCCCCACCCTCCCCATTTGGGGGTCCGTCGGCCGTGGGTTATTTGGTGCCTGCTGCTGCCCATCAGGTGCCCAGGGTCCAGCCTGACCGGTGACCCGGTGCTGACCGAGGCCACCCCACCCCTCTCTCCTGTCAGGACGGGCGGATCGAGTTCTCCGAGTTCATCCAGGCACTGTCGGTGACCTCGAGGGGGACCCTGGACGAGAAGCTGAGGTGTAAGTTCTGTCCCCCGGGTTCCGTCAGGCGGCCACTGGCTGGTCCCAGGCTGGAGGGAGGCCAAATAAGCGGGCCAGGCCGTCTGTCCAGGGCTGGGAGATCGGCACAGATGTCCCGCCTTTCCAGGTCACAGGAGCATTCTGGAGGTGGCCGTGTGGGAGGGACGTGGCTTAGCCAGGCAAGCTGGACAGACGGGCAGTGGACAGGTGCAGATGTGGGCCACGGGCAGCGGCCTCGAGTTAAAAGACCCGATCCCAGCCCTGGCTGCACGGCCTAGAGGAGGTGGCTGTTTTGAGGACTGGCCTCATTCACTTATTCACACGTTCACCCAGCAGATACCAGCCGAGCTCGGCCACGTGCCCGCGCTGATCGGGAGGTGGGGACTCCGTGGGTGAACCGATAGGCAGGCACCTGCTCCCACGACCGTCCGTCGGGCACGGGGGCATTATTTTTAAAAATCCCATAAAACTGTCACCCAGGCAGGAAGGGGTGTGGGTGAGCGGACAGGAGAGAAACTTGACAGTCAGCGGGGAGAGCTGGCCGGGGCAGGTGGAGGGAAGAGAGTTCCAGGCTGGGGAACAGCATGTGCGAGACCCCAGGGGAGAGAGAGTTCCATGCTAGCACACGGGGCGCGAAAGGGAGTCTGGAGAGAGGATGGAAGCAGTTGAGCCAGAACTCGCGCTCTCCTGGACCTTTCCGCTGCGTTGCGTTGGCAACGAGAAACGCCTGCAGTTTCTTTTTCTTTCTTTTTTTTAGGAATAAAGGAGGATTTTATTCATGTAAAAGCTACACCCCACTCCCATCCTGGGGGTATTATTTGACTTTCTGAGTCAACTGTAGCAGGAAGCGCATGATTGTGGAAGGGCAGTGGGTGGAGAGGAGGGGGCATTATGGTCATTGTGGGGCTCCTCCTGGGCCCTGCCCCACTCAACCTTGGCCTCAGCCTCCACTCTGGCAGACCCAGAGCCCCCTCTCTTCTACTTCTGGTTTCCTTCTTTCTTTTAAGTTTATTTATTTATTTTGAGAGAGAGAGAGAGAGGGGGGACAAGCAGGGGAGGGGCAGAGCGAGGGGGACAGAGGATCCGAAGAGGGCTCTGCACCGACAGCAGAGAGCCCGATGTGGGGCTTGAACTCACGAATGGAACCCTTTGATCATGGCCTGCGCCAAAGTCGGACGCTCAACCTACTGAGCCACCCAGGCGCCTGGTGTTGTTTTTTAAACCCTAGTTGAAATGGGGTGTGTGTCAGTGTGCATCTGTCTGTCTGTCCATCCGTTTGTCCTGATGTGAATCCTCGTTGCCAACAAGTGATGGGGCCTTTGGTTATCCCCACCCTCACCGAGTGGAGGGGCAGGAGGAAGGGGCGTGGCAGAGCCGCCCCGCCCAGGGGTGACCCCGCCCCGAGGGGCGTGGCAGAGCCGCCCCGCCCAGGGGTGACCCCGCCCCGAGGGGCGTGGCAGAGCCGCCCCGCCCAGGGGTGACCCCGCCCCGAGGGGGCGTGGCAGAGCCGCCCCGCCCAGGGGTGACCCCGCCCCGAGGGGCGTGGCAGAGCCGCCCCGCCCAGGGGTGACCCCGCCCTGAGGGGCGTGGCAGAGCCGCCCCGCCCAGGGGTGACCCCGCCCCCGCTGCTTGCTCGCAGGGGCCTTCAAGCTTTATGATCTGGATAACGACGGCTACATCACCAGGAACGAGATGCTGGACATTGTGGACGCCATTTACCAGATGGTGGTGAGGCCCCTGGGCCCGACGGGGTAGGAGTGGCAGGAAGGGCGTCACATTTAGGGACAGGGCCTGGCTGCACAGCTGCTCTCCTGCCCTGGATGAGAGTTGGCCAGGGGAGGGGTCGCGCGGGGTGCATCCCCACCTGGTGAGGCAGGCAGGGGCCGCAGCATCCGTGCGGCCGGAGGGGATGGGGTGTTCCAGAGAGGGTGGAGCAGTCTGCATCTGGAAGGAGCCCGGATCTGGGAGGCAGAGTTTTGGCGGGAGCCCCCCACCCACCTTGTCTCTGCCTGGCAGGGAAACACCGTGGAACTCCCGGAGGAGGAAAACACCCCTGAGAAGAGAGTGGACCGGATCTTTGCCATGATGGACAAGGTGAGCCCGGTGGGGAGACGGGCCCTCACCGGGTAAAGCGTGGGGGGTGGGCGGGTAGTGGAGACCCTTATAAAGGCACAGATGTCCAGGGCAGTGGCTTTGCCTGCTGAGTTATCCACTGGTCAGCAGGCGTCCCCATCAAATGCCCAGAGAGTTAAGTAAGTTTGCCTGACACTTTTTCTTCTCTCAACTAAGATTCTTTTTTTTTTTTTTAAGTTTATTTTTGACAGAGAGAGAAAGAGAGAGAGCAGGAGAGGGGCAGAGAGAGAGGGGGACAGAGGATCCAAAGTGGGCTCTGCTCTGAGAGCGGAGAGCCCGACGCGGGGCTCGAACTCAGGAACTGTGAGATCATGACCTGAGCCGAAGTCAATCGCTTAACAGACTGAGTCACCCAGGCGCCCCCAGCCTCAGTGACTCAGCCCCCCTAAGAGTCTTAACCTTTTTTACTCCTTGCTATGGACCCCTTTAACATACCAGAGAAGTCTATGGGGGTCTCAGAATGATGTTCAGTGCATCAAATCAAATCCATAGGGTTGGAAAGGAAGCTAATGATTTTGGAATACAGCCATCAAAATATTTTTTACTTTATTATTTTTTTAATGTTTATTTGGGGGGGAGGGGCAGAGAGAGGGAGACAGAATCGGAAGCAGGCTCCCGACTCTGAGCTGTCAGCACAGAGCCCCACTCAGGGCTCGAGCTTATGGACCATGAGATCATGACCTGAGCCGAAGTCACTTAACTGACCAAGCCACCCAGGTGCCCCCAAAATATTTTTTAAAAAGAATTCGTGATACAGCATTAATTGGGCTGCGTTATGGAGATGTTAAATAAGAAAGCATCGCAGTGGGTGTGACTGCCCCGCAATTTCACGTGGCCCTGCAGCAGCTGTGACATGTCACAAAAACACCCATGACCCGCATGGTTGACAGTCATAGGTACTGCTCATTCCGGTAGGCACTGTCACCTGCTGTCATCATGGAAGGAAAAGCCAAATCACAGTTAGAAGTTAACGAATAGAAGGGCACCCGGATGGCACAGTCGGTCAAGCGTTTGACTTTGCCTCGCGTCATGATCTTGCGGTTCAGGAGTTTGAGCCGTACATCGGGCTCCACTGTAACAGTGCAGATTCTCTGTCCCTCTCCGTCCCTCCCCAGCTTGTGCGCGTGCACACACACACTCTCTTTCTAAATGAATAAATAAACAGCTTTTGTGCATGCACATACTCTCTCTTTAAATAAATGAACAAACTATAATAAAAAAATGAAGTTAGTGAATAGAAAGACCTCATTTTTCTCCCATCTGGGTTTACCGACCTGCTGAATTCTAGCCTCCGACCCCAGGTTAAGAAATCCCTATTTATATCAAGCTTTTTTTTTTAAGTAAAATAATTTTGGTTTTTCTTTTAATTTTTGTTTATTTTTGAGAGAGAGAGCAGGGTGGGGACCAGAGAGAGAGGGGGACAGAGGATCCCAAGCAGGCTCCGGGCTGAGAGCAGAGAGCCCGACGTGGGGCTTGAACTTACACGCCGCGAGATTATGACCTGAGCTGAAGTCGGAGGCTCAACCGACTGAGCCTCCCAGGCACCCCCAGGTTCAGTGCTGTTTAATGCCAAGGGCACACACTTCTCTTGAATCCCCTCTGTCTTCTGTTTCCCTTACTTAGGGAAACAAAGCCCGTGTCCCACCCAGACTGGCGTAAGTTCTGCCTTCCCCAGTTACTAGCCATGGGGCCCTGGCCAGGTGACTGAGCCTCAGTTTCCTTCCCAGCAAAATGGGGTTAAGAGCAGCACCTCTTTTTAGGGTTGCCGTGTGGAGCCCATGAGACCAAGCGTGCACACTAGCAGTATATCCACAGGGCCCTCAGTGAGCGACCCTCCCGCCTCCCCATGCCTCTGGGAGCTCTGGTTACCGCCTGTATTCTCTGGGGACAGGAGGGTGGGTCCACACAGGTCCTTTTACGGGAGCTGCACGTGGTTTCCTCCCAGGCGTCTCGGGGTCCCGTGTAGGCTGCTCCGGGAGTGGTTTATTTATTTTTATTTTTTAAAACTGTTTCTTCAGTTTTGAGAGAGAGAGGGAGAGAGAGCGCCAGCAGGGGAGGGGCAGAGAGAGAGGATCCAAAGCGGGCTCAGCACAGAATCCCCCGCAGGGCTCAAACTCACAAGCTGCGGAGATCATGACCTGAGCTGAGGTCGGATGCTCAACTGACTGAGCCACCCAGGCGCCCCTCTGGGAGTCGTTCAGATGCCCTTCGAAGAGTGGCCCCAGAGAAATGCATTAGGCTCTCAGCCCTTTGGAATTAACTGCCATTTACGGGAATTCATCGCAAGGACAATAAGCATGGAGTTAGGGACACGCTGCCCGTCTGAGGCTCCCAGAGCAGTCACCCCGATGCCCTGAGGAAGCCATGTAGCTACCTCTCGCTCCAGGTGAGGAAAATGGGGCGCAGGGAAGTGGGTCACGTGCCCAAGGTCACCCTGGCAGGTAGTGCCCAGGTCTGTCTGACGCCCGACCCCTCTTACCTAGTGAGCTGTACCGCCTCCCCCCTGACCTGACTTTGTTCAGAAGCTGTGTCTCGGCCAGTCCCGGGCCAGGCTTGGGGCGGGGATGTCCGGGGCCCGGCCCCGAGGCGCCCATCCCAGGAGCCTGGTTGTCCCCCCACATTTAGCTGTCTCTCTCTCTCTCTCTATCTCTCTCTCTGTGCTTGCAGAACGCCGACGGGAAGCTGACTCTGCAGGAGTTCCAGGAAGGGTCGAAGGCAGACCCCTCCATCGTGCAAGCGCTCTCCCTGTATGACGGGCTGGTATAGTCCAGGGCCCAGAGCTGGGGTGAGTGGACGGGGGACCTGGGGCCTGGGGAGAGGTGTGGGGAGGGGAGCACCAGTCACAGGACACCTGGGGTTGGCAGGTAAGTACTGGGTCTCCTGGCGGTACCTGGAGCTTCCCAGTGGGAGCTGAGCAGGTAGGAGGTGACTTGGAGGTCAAGTTCAAATCCACTAGAGTGCTTCCATTCAGACATTTTTAAAAAATTTTTTTTAAATGTTTTATTTATTTCTAGGAGAGAGAGAGAGACAGCGTGAGCAGGGGAGGGTCAGAGAGAGAGGGAGTCACAGACCGAAACAGGCTCCAGGCTCTGAGCTGGCAGTCAGCACAGAGCCCCACGCGGGGCTCGAACCCACGAACCGCGAGATCATGACCTGAGCGAAAGTCGGACGCTTAACCGACTAAGCCACCCAGGCGCCCACCGTTCAGACATCTTTATATGCTCAGATTCAGCCCGAGAGTTTGCTTGAATAGTTTCCCTGGGTTGAAAGCGCTTTGAAAGGCAGCGTTGTCAGCCAGGACTGGGGCCGCGTGGGGACTCCAGCCCCCAGCTCTCGTGTTCCGTAGCTCGAGTACGGTTTCTGCTTTTATCCAGTCGGGCTTTCTGGAAGTGCTGGGCCATTGCTCATGACAGTCCTGTGTTCTGTCTCCCTTCTTTTTCGCTCTCTCCTACCTCTTCCCCCTGCATCTTCTCTGTTGTATCTTCCATGTTGTGCTGCAGAGAGAATCCCAGGCAGTCCCCATGCTCCGCTCAGAGCCCAACACGGGGCTCGATCCCACGACCCTGGGATCATGATCCGAGCCAAAATCAAGAGTCAAACACTCAACCGACTGAGCCTCCCAGGTGCCCCGAAATTCACGTGGGTTTTATAGATTAATCCTACACATATGATCCTGTTAATGTCATTTATCAAAGCTGAGCATCGGCCTTTGATTCTTTGGAACTTTCTAGGCTTTATTTCTTTCTCTGCTTCCTTTCCATCATCTGTTTCTTTGTGCTGCTGGCTGGCTTTCCAGCACAGTGCCCCCTAGGGGTGGAGAAGATGAGCATTCTTGTCTGAACTCTTGGTCTTCGGGGAAAAATGTCAAGAATTGACTATTAGATTAGTTAGTTTATAATTAATTCAATAATAATTATTATTAGGATGTCTGGTGTAGGTCTTCTCTTGAAAGGTTTTATCAGATTTAGAAAGTTTCCTTTTCTGGTTGGCCAGGAGTTCTTTGTATTGTATTGTATTGTATTGTATTGTATTGTATTATTAAAAAAATTTTTTTAATGCTTTTTTATTTTTGAGAGAGAGAGACAGAACACATGCAGGGAAGGGGCAGAGAGAGAGACACACACACAGAATCCGAAGCAGGCTCCAGGCTCCAAGCTGTCAGCACAGAGCCTGACGTGGGGCCCAAATCCATGAACCACGAGATCATGACCTGAGCTGAAGTGGGACACTCAACGGACTGAGCCACCCAGGCACGCCTCGTAGGAGTTGTTAATCATGAATAGTGGGGCACCTGGCTGGCTCAGTCAGAAGAGCGTGCCACGCTTGGTCTCTGGGTCATGGGTTCAAGCCCCACGTTGGGTGCAGAGATGACTAAAATAAATCAAACTTAATAATCATGAATAGTGTTGATTTATAAAAAGTCTTTTCTGTGTCTGTCAAGATGCTCATCTGACTTTTCTCCCTTTTTGGTTGTTAACCTGATGAAGGGCACCGATTGGCTTTTGAATGCTAAGTCACCCTTGCATTCTCAGAATAAAACTCCACGTGCACCGCGTTAATATTTTTTATGTATCATCAGATTTGATTTGCTGACACTTTCTTTCGGAGGCTTAGGCTGTTGGTGCAGCTTTGATGATGACGATGATGATGATTTTACACAAGAGATCCTTTTCCCTTGAAAAGACATCACAAAATAGGTGGCGGGGCACCTGGCTGGCTCAGTCCGGTGCAACGTGTGACTCTTGATCTCAGGGTCGTGTGTTTGAGCCTCGCTCTGGGTAGCCCTAAAAATAAAATCTTAAAAAAAGAGAAAATATGATGAAAAAGAACACCTCCCTACAAAAAGTTTATTCTTAAAAACCTTCATGTTTTCCCCAGATGTAACCACTGTGTGCGTTGTCCAGAGTGATTCAAAAAGAACTGAACACTCACAAACACTGAATACTCAGTAACTGGGTCACACAGGGAGAGGTAATCAAACCAATTTCTAAAGGAATCCTCACAGGCTCTTCTCTAATCTTAGAAGCACCCAGTATGTGGCCTTGGGTCCCACGGCGCCTATGATCCATTGTCTCATCTCCCAGAGGCTCTTTTGTGTATTACTGTCGCCGGCGGCCTCCGCGGCAGCTGTCACGTGATAGTGCTGCTTTGTGTCCTGCAAGCCGTGGAAAAAGTGGTACCAACCTCGGTTCCAGATGTATCTGTCCCCCAGAGGAAGTCATGTGGTGTAATTAGTCTCTTTACAGCCTGCGATTATTTTGGAGTTGCCCTAATTGTTTTCGTCTCCCGGTTTTCTGCGAACACACACGTGTTTGTATTTCCTTAGCGGCAGTGAGCTCATACCCATATGTTGGTGGTTGGTTTTTTGTTTTTAACGAACAACTTATAGGGAATGTTTATGTTTTCTTTTGGCACCTCAACACTAAGAAAACAGATTTTTTAACAGTTTTTTTTTTAATGTTTATTTATTTTTGAGAGAGAAAGCAGGAGAGGGGCAGAGAGAGAGGATCTGAAGGGGGCTCTGTGCTAAGAGCAGAGAGCCTGATGCGGGGCTCAAACTCGCAAACTGTGAGATCGTGACCTGAGCCGAAGTCGGATGCTTAACCAACTGAGCCACCCAGGCACCCCAAGAAAAAAGATTTTTAGCATGTTTTACCCAGCATGGCACAAAGTCCACGTCATGGTATGTCTACACTGGCTTTCCTTCACACCTCCCCGGCAACATGGCGGCCAAAAAGAAGTTACTCTATTTTCACACAACCTTCCTATCACCTCGCCCCAAAAATTACCTTCCTTCTTTTCTCAGGCTTGTCCTCAAACCTACTGGACAGTGATTATATCCAACTCATGTTCCATCGTTTCTGTGATTTCTTTATTTATTTATTCTCAGATTCCTGATGTATCATAATCGTTAATAAGTTCCTGTTGTATAATTCACTGAACCGCCGAGGAACTGAAACCCTGTATATTTTCCTGTATCAGTAAAAATGTTCAAGACCATAATTTTTATTTTTTATTTATTTATTTTTAAAAATCTATTTGTTTGTTTGTTTTTCTGAGAGAGAGACAGTGTGAGCGGGGGAGCGTCAGAGAGAGAAGGAGATACAGAAGCTGAAGCAGGCTCCAGGCTCTGAAGTGTCAGCACAGAGCCCAGTGAGGGGCTTGAACCCACGAACTGTGAGATCATGACCTGAGCCAAAGTCGGATGTTTCACTGACTGAGCCACCCAGGCGCCCTATGAGACCATAATTTAAAAAAAAATTTTTTTAATGTTTTATTTATTTCTGAAAGAGAGAGAGAGAGAGAGGCAGCGTGAGCAGGGGAGGGTCAGAGAGAGAGGGAGACACAGAATCAGAAGCAGGCTCCAGGCTCTGAAGTGTCAGCACAGAGCCCAGTGAGGGGCTTGAACCCACGAACCATGAAATCAAGACCTGAGCCGAAGTCGGACACTTAGCCGACTGAGTCACCCAGGCGCCCCAAGAGATCATAATTTTTAATAGCTGCATAGTGTTCTGTTGTATGGCTGGACACGGGGCTCGAACCCACGAACCATGAGATCATGACCTGAGCTGAAGTCGGATGCTTAACCGACCAAGCCACCCAGGCGCCCCTAAAAAGAACTTCTTAATGACAGGCAACTAAAGAAGGAATGGCATGACCTCATTACCCATCACCCAGCTTCAGAGTCACCAATTTGTGGCCAATCTTGTATCATTTGTACCCTCCATATGCACCTTCATGGTGGGTTCTTTTGAAGCAAATTCAAGACATTATATCATTTCAGACATAAATATCTCAAGGTGTATTCTGAAAAGATAACGTTTCTTTACAAAATCCATAATAGCAAAAAAAGAAATCAGTACTGATTCCCTAATACCCCCCAGGCTGTAGCTATTCTTCCTACTTCCTGTGACCTCGCAATGTTTATTCAAAACAATATGAATAAATTCCACCTATTGCAGTTGGTTGATAGGTCAAGTTCATTTTAATCTATGTCTCCCCCTCCCTTATTATTATTATTACTATTTTGCCTGCCATTTATCAAGAAACACATTCTGTTGAGTCTCCTACATCAGAGGTTTGCCGATTGCGCCTCATGGGTGGGGTTTTTTTTTTTTTTAATGTTTTATTTATTTCTAGGAGAGAGAGAGAGAGAGACAGCATGAGCAGGGGAGGGTCAGAGAGAGAGGGAGACACAGAATCTGAAACAGGCTCCAGGCTCTGAGCTGGCAGTCAGCACAGAGCCCAACGCGGGGCTCGAACCCACGAACCGCAAGATCATGACCTGAGCGAAAGTCGGACGCTTAACTGACTAAGCCACCCAGGCGCCCCTTAACATTTCCTTAGGTTTCCTGTCCTTCCAGGAAATGGGCAGTTAGATCCACCGGCTCGCCCAGCACTCACTTTTTGGCAACAGCACCTCCTGAGCGGGGCTGCGTGTGTCTACCGTGTGCGAGGTCTGGTGACGTCAGCAGCCCTTGGTGATGAGCACTTCATTCATTCATTCTGTCAGTGGTGTTCCAAATCTGTCCATCCTTCTTCGTGGTTAGCTTGGTATGTCTGCACTAGGAAACTTCCCCCTCATCAACTGTGTGGTTCCTGCCAAGCCTCATTTATCATAAGTAAGGCAGGATAGATACTCGATTCTTCCTCTCTTTCAGCTTTCAAAATGAGATGGATTTCTGACATCCTTCAGAGGGGACCAATGCAGATTTATGGACCTAAGTGCCGTCGATGGGCTCCATCATGCCTGTGGTTTTAACCTGCAGATACAATACTGCAGATCACAAGGGTTCAGATTGCACAGGAGGCAGTGCCTGTGATTGGAAACTCAGCCCGGCGCCCCGGCTTCGGCACGGGGAGGACACGGGCCTCCCGATGGGTGACTCTTCCCGTCACCTGCACCCCAGCGGCCACCCCAACTCTGGCCCCATGGGGACTTCCTGCCCCTCCAGGTCGCCGCCATCTAGCTGCTGGCTGGCCCCGCTGGTGTCTCTGGTCATCTCACGCAGATCTGGGAAATGGCTCCTTTCAGATCAGACACCTGCTCCAGTGCATTCGGGCAGCAGGGACCTGCGATTTAAGTGGAGCAGGTTACCGGAAGGATCTGTGGACGGTGCGGACCGTAGCAGACAGCACTGCCCTCCAGGCTGCTCTTTTCAGAAACATCCTGAGGTGAAATTCACATGACAGAAAATTAACCACTGTATTAAAAACATTTTTTTTAAGATTTTTTTTTTTTTTTTAAAGTAATGTGGGGCTTGAACTTACAACCCTGAGATCAGGAGTTGCACATTCTGCTGACTGAGCTGGCCAGGCGCCCCGAGATTAAGCATTTTATTTTATTTATTCAAAGTAGGCGCCACATCCACGCAGGGCTTCCAGCTCAACCCTGAGGTAAAGACCTGAGCAGAGATCAAGAGTCAGATGTTGGGGGGGGGTGCCTGGGGGACTCAGTCAGTTAGGCGTCGGACTTTGGCTCAGGTCATCATCTAGCGGTTCGTGAGTTCAAGTCCCGCGTCGGGCTCTGTGCTGACAGCTCGGAGCCTGGAGCCTGTTTCAGATTCTATGTCTTCCTCTCTCTCTGCCCCTCCCCTGCTTGTGCTCTGTCTGTCTGTCTGTCTCTCTTTCTCTCAAAAATAAATAAGCATTAAAGATTAAAAAAAAAAAAAGTCAGGAAGCTGAACTGAGTGAGCCACCCAGGCACCCCCAAACACTTTGTGTTTCAGGTGAACAATTCAGTGGCATCTAGTATATTCACAGTGATGTGCAACCAAAGCACATCCCAGTTCCAAAAGCATCCGTATCTCTCCAAAATAAAACTCCATCTCCAGGGGTGCCTGGGTGGCTCAGTCGCATAAGCATCGGACCCTTGATCTCAGCTCAAGCCGTGACCTCGGGGTTTGTGTTCTTGAGCCCTGCATCAGGCTCTGCGCGGACTGTGCGGATCCTACGTGGGATCTTCTTTCTCTCCCTCTCTCTCCCCCACTTGTGAGCTCGCTCACTCTCCCTCAAAATAAATAATTACATTAAAAAAACCACCTTCATATCCATTAAGCAGTTTCTCCCCATCCCCCCTCCACGCAACCCCCCCCCCCACCCCGGCAGCCTCAGTCTGCCTTCTGTCTCTATGGCTTTGCCTACTTGGGACATTTCATATCAACGAAATCTTTCATGAAAATGCAATTTGGGGCTTTGGGCATCTCGGTCCTTTCACTTAGCTAACGTCTTCGAGGCTCATCCACACTGAGCGGGCATTGGGACCTCCTTCCTGTTTATATGGCTAAGTCATACTCCGCGGTCTGGACAGACCACGGTTTATTTATCCGCTCCTCCAGTAGTGGACATCTGCGTTTCCTCCTTTTGGCAGCTGTGACTAATGCTTCCGTGAATGTGGGTGTGCGTGGCTCTGAGTCCTCAGTGTCCGTTCTCTGGCGTATATACCTGGGAGTGGACGTGCTAGATCCCATGGTAACTGTGTTTAGCTTTTGGGGTTCCACCGACCGTATTCCACGGCAGCTGCCCATCTTGCATTCCCGCCAGCAAGGCTGAGGGTTCTAACCTCTCCACGCCCTCGCCGCCACTTGCGATGTGCCTGTGTTTGAGGTTGGCTGTCCTAGTGCGTGTGATTGTGGTTTTTATTTGTGTTTCCCTGAAGACTAATTCCGTCGAGCCTCTTCTCCTGTGCCCCTCGGTCATGCCATGCGTCCTTCTTAATGGCTGCAGATGATGGGCTCCCACGGCGATGTTCTCATTTATCCGACCAGCCCCCCGGACAGTGGACGCTCCCTATTTTGCTATATTCCAGAGGCTGCTGTGGCAAACGCCTTGTTTGTTCCGTAAGGATAAGTACCAAACACCAACGGGTGGATCAGAGGGTGTGCACCCTCAGTTTTAGGACTTCTGATGGAACGCCACCCTGCCCTCTGCTTGACGGCCCTGCCAGCTGTGGGGCCGCGTGTCCCTGGCGGCCAGCTCTGCCCCCGTCACACCTCCTTGTGTCTTCCAGATGCCTGGGAACTACTCACCTCCTTCCGCGCCGTGAGGCCACCTCCGCCCCCAACACCGCCCTCCTGTGTTCACCCGGCATTTCTCCGCATCCACACTCGGCCTGGCGGCCCCCGAACCGCAAAGCCCGGCTCTCCTCCCCTCTGCCCTGCACCCACCGCCGCCTGAAGCCACTGGCTCCAATTGCCAACAACCTCTGCTTGTCCGGAAGCCAACACGAAACGGAAAAGGCTACAGCCCTCTGCAAAACTGAGGACCAGCTGCTTCGCAGGCAGCTTCTGGGTCCTTCCTGCTCTTCTGTGCGTGTGCTTTTTTTCTTTTTTTTTTTTTAATTTTGAACAGACATTGACAAAGGGGAAAAAAAAAACCAACTACCTTCTGTCCTAGAAGATAGAGACTGACAGATGGGGAGAAGGCTCCCGTAGATCTCAGAGACACTGCCTCCCGCCTCGGCCATTCTGGGGCAGCCCGAGAGGCTGCGGGGAGTCACGGCCGAGGCCACGGGGTGCTCAGAGTGTTGGGGGGCCTGCCCGATTCACGTGATCCGTTGTCCCATCCTCAAGTCATCATGATGACTCATGATAATGACGATTTTTTTTTGTGATAACAGTATTGTGCTTTTCGTGGGGAAAGTGAGGTTTTTTTTATACATATATAATTGATATCTTTTATTTATTGGTTGTTAACTGTTGCTGCTGCCTCGTGTGTCCAAAGCTCCCAGGGATGCGGGGCCCACCGTTTACACGTGCACGCCCTCTCCCACCTGCGCTTTGGAGGATGGTGGCCTGCAGCGGCCAAGAAGCCAAAAAACTTCTTTTTCTTTTTCTTATTTTTTTTTTCAGATACCGCGCTCGATGTTTGGAGAGGGGAAGGGTGGGTTTCTTAAATGGCTAGTGCACTGTTCCCCTAGCCCCGAATGGCTCCTTCTTGAACCCCTTCTCTCTGCCTCCTGTCCACCCTCCCCATCCCGTTCCTCTTCTGGGTCCACAGCATCTTTTCCGAGGACCACCGGAGGACAGCTTATGGCTTCTCCCCTCTTGCTTTGGCGTTTGCAGCAGCATGGAGATGGGGGACGGGGCGCGGAAGGAAGGGAGGGGGAACGGCGCTCTTTGCAAGCCAGTGAGCCGAGGAAAGATCATTCTCCCTCCTTGGTGGGTTTTGAAGAGAGTCACTCAAATCTCTCCCACCAGCTTTTCTGCCCATCTGTCTGCCTGGTCCAGTAGATCACATAGCTCCCCCCTTCCCCTTCCTCTCTCAGCTCAAATGCTGGGGCGGGGGGGGGGGCGGGGGGGGCGGGCAAGAGAGAAGAGCTGCAGGCAGTCCCCTTCTGTAGCGGCCACTCCCTGGGGGGTGGCCCATATGCACTTATATAGGAAGCTTCTAACTCTGCCACTGCGGCCGCGTGGCCCCAGAACTGCTACCAGCAAGGTCAGATGACCTTGGGCCAGCGGCCGGTAGCCTGCAGCTGGCCGGCCGTTGCTCTGTGGTTGCGGGCAGCCCCTTGCCCTCTCTGGGTCCCGGCTGGCCCGGCTGCAGAACCAGGAGGCTTGGGCCGGTTGATCTGGAAGGCCCTTTTCCATGCTGACACTGTCTGATTGTAAGCCCGGTTTTCCTGCGTTTGCGATTCTGCGACACGGGCACGGTCCGAGTCACTCTTCTGTCTCCTGGCACGTATCTTCGGGGACATGGCAGCCACTGGTGGTTGTGTGTGGGATCAGATGACCGACCTTGTTCTCTCTGCAGTTCTTCCTGGTCCCTCCTGGACTCTCGAGCTGTCTTTTTTGGCCCAGAACTCGTTCTCTTCCAGGGAAGCCTCCTGGGGTGCGAGGCAGCCTCCCAGACTATTCAGGGCCGGGCTTGAGTCTCCAATTCCCGCTTCTTTGCAAAGTCAGCAGCGTGCCACCTCCCCTGCTTACCCCAGCCCCGGGAGAGGAAAAGCTGGCCCTCGGGTCTCACTTTGAATTTCCCTTGGTTCTTCTCACTTTGCACTTTCCCAGGAGGCCAGAGTGTCTGCTTATTGACCCTCAGCCAGCAGACCCTCGCTCTGCCAGTGCGGGGCTCTGTCCGTCCGGACGGCTCACCTCACCCCAGGCTCCTTTCTTGCTCAGCGGAGCCTAGGGCTGTGCTCCGCGTCCGCTGGAAGCCCCCAGGTCCCACGGGTCCAGGGAGCACTTTAGTTCTCACAGGTGACTTTACAGGCTGGGCTCCTGGAGATGAACTTGGCCTGCGGTCAGGGGCGGGGTAGGCGGGGCTTCCCCAAGTTGCATTCCTTCTCCGCGGGGGGGGGGGGGGGGGGGGGGCATCTGCCCGAGTCTTGATTTGCATCTCTGACGGCTGGGGGGGGGGGGGGGGGAGGAGCAATGCTAGAGGCACCGTCTGGGTAGGAGACTTGGAGCCCAGAATCACCCAGGGTTAAGCATGTGGCCGTCCTTGCAGCTTCTGCTCTGATTCCCAGGCATCAATGGAGCAGCTGCCTGCGGGGCCTTCCTCCCACCTTCTTGCTCTTTGGCCTTTTTGCTTGGAGCCCCAGGTGTGGCCTTTGACCTTAGCAGGTGGTACTGTGGACCCGTGGCTCAGGCACGGTGCACCTTGAGTCGGTGCCATGGGGACTTGAGGGGACAGGCCACCCTCCTCTTTTCGCAGGGCGCTGGGCACTGGCCATTTGTGCCCGAGGTGGCCAGGCAGGGACAGTTGTGTCCCCTCCTCTCACCAGGCCTCTAGGTACGGAAAGCTGAGCGGCTGTGGGCCTCTGTCCCCAGCACCGATTTCCCCCCCAGGCCCAGCCGGTCATACGCTGCTCTCTGGGCATTCCAGAGCCCCTGGAGGCCGGGCTCCCTGGCCCAGGAGCAGCAGCCTCGGGCTCTTCCTCACAGCGTCCGCCCCCCACTCTGTGTTGATGGCACCGAGCAGAATGACAGACTTCCCGGTATTTAACCAGGCCATGTTTAACGTCAAGGCAAACGCGTGTGTCCTCCTTTCCCCGAAATGCTTTTCAGTTTGACAGCCAACTTCCTAGACGACACCTGGGCTTTCGGGAACACGTCTCTTTTCTGAGGGGAGGAAGGTTGGGGCGGGGGGTGGTGCCCTAGATGCCCGGGAGAGAGACCCTCTGCGGACCCAGTGCGCCGCGGTGCAGCCTCGCTCGGCGCCTGCGGGATCCAAGGGAACGCGGGCGCGCCCCCTGGTGGCCGGGAGCTGCAAAGGCATGTGGGGGCCCCTTGGGGCCAAACAGGAGCTTGGAGGGAGGGGGGCGGCGGGAGGCGGGAGGTGCCCGGGGCTCCAGCCTCGCGTTATTGACAGTGTGTCTCCCAGACGCCCCTCTTCTAGGTCTCCGCCAGGGGTAGCAAGTTCATTAGCATAAGGGCACCGCGATGGGAAACCTTGCCCTCCACCCTTTTTTTAATATCTGCGGAATAAACCCAATGGTTGATTTTTGAATGAATAAAAGGCTTTTGTTGAATAAACAGCTGGTACCATCTTCTGTCTTGGCATCTAGGCTAAGGCTCTGTCTGCCGCCCAGGCCTGGGACAAGAGCAGAATCTGCCTCCCCTCGCCCCACAGCCTGTACTGGGCGTTTTCCCCGCATCTTTGCAGTGGCCGGGGCTCCAGGGACAGCCACTCGCTCCCAGTCGGACTCAGTGACCAGCTTCCCCTGAGACTCGGGACAGGTCGCTCCTGCTCAGTTCCTCCGCCCCCCAGATGGGAGCAAGTGTCTGCCCAGCCCTCCCCACCCCCACCCCCACAGGGCGAAGCGGGGAGCAGGCATGAGCGTAGTCCTGCAACTTTGTAAAGGAATTTGGGCAACTCAAAAAAACCCAAAGAAACAAAAAACAAAAAAACTTTCCCAGCGATGGTTGTCTTCTGTCGGCCTTTCCAGTCCCCTCCGAGCCTCTTTCCTGGGCCACTGTCCTGTCTGAATCCGCTGCTGTGTGTCTCTGGGGGGAGATGCAGGCCCTGGTCCTGGCGGTGCTGGTGGGGGCAGGGCGAGGCCCCGGGGTGGGGGGGGGGGCACGCAGCGGGCCCAGGCCTCGTCTCATGCTCCCGATGTACGTCTCCATGTCATGCCAATTAAACGCGCTTCCTGACTTGTGCTTGCCTCCCTTGTGTGGACCTGTTGCTTTTGTCTGTCTCTGTTCTCTTCTTCATTTCATCGTAGGCCTCTGCTTCCCTGACACCCTTTCTCTCGCTTTGGGGGTGGTCCGCCCCGGTTCGCCCAAGACCAAGAGTGTGCCGGAAGGAGAGCCTGGGCCGTAGTGATTACAGCAGAGCGTTGCAAGGGGTGTTGTGGGAAGCCCAGGGCTCCCCCACCCCACGTCTCCCCCCCCCCCCGCCCTCCCAGCCAGCGTGTCCATTCCTGCCTGTGTCCTCCCCCCGGGGGGGCGGGGTCTCTAAAGCGTTTCTCTAAAGAGAGTGTCAAGACTCCCCAGATTGCCAGCCTGGCTTCCGGAGTCGCTGATCAGCCGGCTCTGGGCTGGGCTGACGAGGTCCTAGGCCACCCTGATGCTGTTGATCCGGGCCGCCTTCCGAGGACCCCTGGGGAGCCGCGCCCACAGCAGGCCGTCCAGTTGAGTCCTCAAGAGGAGACCTGCTTCCATTCCCCTGGAGTCCGCGCTGATCGTTCACGTGGGGGAGCCCTCAGGAGGGGCCCTGTGATGTGGATGTCTACGTGGCCGCCCTGTGCCATGGTCCCCTCGGCCTGCAACCTGGAATCTAGAGGGGTCTCCTCTTACCCCCAGTCAAGGAACCAAGTGTTTCCTCGGTGCACCTGGGCCCCGCCGTGTGCCGGGTGTTTGGGGGAGAGGAAGACTTAAGTAGAGGAAGTGACGGCCCTTTCCAGAGCTTGCTGGGGAAACCTTAGTCTGCAAAACAATAAAAGATGATGTGGCTACAGGAGTGGATCCGTTGGTTGGAATCCACTTTGCTCTTGGCCAAAGGCTCTGGAGAAAAAACAGGTATGTTGATTGGATCCAACGGCCAATGTTAGAACGAGCCACCACAGGCAGAAACGGGTTACATTTCAGAGTTGTTTTTATGAAAGGAATCGTCAGACCAGCGCCCCCAGCAAGACAGAGCCGGAGGGCCCCCGTTGGCTCAAGCAGCCGCTGGAAGCGGGCACCCAGAGATGGCACCCTTTGTGGCCACCCCGAGCACCCAGCATAGTGACTCAGCCTGGCAGGGTCTGGACTCAAAGTCTAGAACTGAGACATATGGGAGCGAATGGAAGGCAGTGTGGGGTGGTGGTTAGGGGGCGCGCGTTCCAGAAGCACACCTACTTCCCAGTCAGCCTGCACCGCTTGCCACTGGGCATGTACACTAACCAGGTCTTCTGGTAAAAACGGGGACCCCTAATGAGAGGCAGGTGACAGCTCCCACCACCCCAACAGCCTTGCCTCTGGATGGAATGTTATAACTCTGCCAAATGTCCAAACGTTTACCAGCCAGCAGGTGCAAGAGAAACCATACGCCTGTGGCTGGCTGTCCAAAGTGGGAGGGGACCAGGACCCCAGGGCTCCGCCCCGAGCACAAGGGTGGGGGTGTCAGGCTGCTGAGCTCACTCCCGTGAACCTTTCAGCCAATCCACCTATCGGACCACCTCATGCTTCTCCTAAGAAAAGTGATTTCTAACAGTTCTTTGCTAAGGAACAAACCGTAGTATTGTTTTTTTTTTTTTTAGTTTATTCATTTATTTTGAAGGAGAGAGAGAGCGAGAGAGAGAGTGGAGGGGAGGCAGAGAGAGAGAATCCGAAGCAGGCTCTGTACTGTCAGCACAGAGCCCAACATGGGGCTTGAACTCACGAATTGTGAGATGGTGACGTAAGCTGAAACCAAGAGTCGACACGTAAGCTTAACCGACTGAGTCACCCAGGTGACTCCACATTAGCATTTTAATTATGGACTGTTATTAAAACTGATACCACAGGGGCTCCTGGGTGGCTCAGTCGGTTAAGCGTCGGACTTAGGCTCGGGTCATGATCTCACAGTTGGTGGGTTCGAGCCCCACATCGGGCTCTCTGCTGTCAGTGCAAAGGCCTCTTCGGATCCTCTGTCCCCCCCCCCCCCCACCTCAGCCCCTTCCCCACTTGCATTCTCTCTCTCCCTTCCTCTCTCTTTCTCTCAAAAATAAATACACATTTTTTAAAAGGCCAATGTGATACCCTCTGGAGAGCAGATTCCTAACTAGCGTATTTCAGGTCCTAAGGGACTATCTGTGAGATAGAGACTGGAGTAATTTCATGCACACCCTTCAGCCCCACCTAAACATTCAGAGTAAATAAGTGCATGGGAGCACGTCCTCTCTGGGAAGCCCAGGACCTGTCAAGGGGCTGAAGTGAGGGTAGCTGGGGCCATGTTTCCTGCACATGGTGAACTTGCAGTAGGTGTGAGCTGTCACCGAGAGCTGACTTCCGTCTTTTCCAGGCAGCCAGGGGAGGCAGGGACACAGTTCAGAGTTCGTGTGTCACGTGGGCTGTGGGCAAGTGATGGGTCAGAGTCCCTCGCTCTGGATCGAGCTGAGGTCTGCACTGACCTGCTCCTGGCCCAGCCCCCCACAACCCCGGGCAGCTCACTGTGGGTTGAGGCTCCATAGAGGCAGACACCTGGCCTCTTCTTCCCCCACTGGGCCACCTGCTTTTCCGAGATGTCTCATACTGGCTGCCATTTCCTGGGTGTGACAGCATGGATGAAGCCCCCCAGGATGGCCCCACTTCTCCCCACTGAGCGCCTTCCACCCTGTCCCCTTACCCTGCCAACCCTCAAACTCATGTCTGCGTGTTAGAAAGTATCTCCCTGACTCTTTTTCCCCAGAGCCCAAGTCAGAGCATCAGCAGGCATAGAGAGGAGAAGGAGAAGAGAAGGGTGGGCGGAGGGGACAGGGGATGGGGAATGAGATGCGGACCCCTGCTCGGCTCTCGCCGACCTCCTTTCCTGCCATCTTTTGGGGTGGGCCCGTTTAGGGGTCCATGGCAACAGAGCCTGGATCACATTTAGGGACTGAAACTTTATATCCTCCGGGTTCCCTGATCTGGAGGAGCCTGGTCAGGGCAGTGGGCATGGAAAGGGGCTTTAAGGCCACCGAGTGCCGGAAAAGTGAGCTCACATAGTTATGGTAGAAGCTTCTGTTTGTTCTCGTATCTCTTGACCCCTTTTAGCTGCACTTAGGACCGCATGGGATAAAGAACTACATTTCCCAGCCTCCCCTGTAACCAAATATGGCCACATGACTCTGTTTTGACCAATGGAATGAGAGGAGTGAGCACCACTCCTCTTTCG